CCCAAAAAAAATCAATGGCGATGTGGAAAGCCACACGGTTTAGAAGCCAAGCAGTTGTGTCGCAACAAAGGAAATCTGGCGTTGTGTCGATGGGACCTTGTGGGAACGTGCTGCGTGCCTCTCGGTCGGCGCAGCGTTGGCCAAACATCAGGCTAGAAGACCGGGGATCACTGCGTTTTAGTGGACCCTTTGCAGGGGCCCCTATATGCATCGAGATCAGCGGCAAAAGAAAAAAAAAAGGACGGAAAGGCAGAAACTTTGAAAAGAAGGGCGTGCCTTTTTTATGAGTTCAATTCCGGGCTATTGCCACAAACATGGGAATGGTGAGAACGATACATCCCAGGGACATGAGAATCCAACTTGGACGCCGCGAGTATAGTTGGGTTCTTTCTATTGTGCTCGCTTGAGCGCACCAAGGAGTTCACGCGGTAGACGGTCCCATTCGCCCGTGACGTCAACCACCGGCACCCCTCGAGTCCCTGGTCTTGGCGTGTTGGGCCACCCAAGGTCGCGGGCAAGGGTTACATGTAATGAGGGGGACCGCTGGCTCTGGGCGCGCGAGCCCAGATAAATATGAGTGCCTCCAGCCTCCTCGTCGTGGCATGCGCCTCTCACGGAAAGCCCTGGAAGCGGAGGTGCTCGCAGGCCCGCAACAGACCAAAAAAAAAAAGAGACCGGGGGTGCCAAGCAGCTGCAGGTGGTACGCGCCTGGCTAGCCCCGAGGGGTACGTACTAGGGCACCCTAGACACCACAAAGCTCAGGGCGCGATTGAGGATCGGAGCTGTGCCTGTGCGATCGTACTTTGTAGGGGTTGCTAGCTTGGACCCGCGTCCGACCAAGAACCACCCAACGGCACTGGGGACAAAAGAAGGAAGGAAAAAGAAAGTGACGGGAAACGCACAGTACGCCCAAGAAAACAAAAACAGGCTTTTTACCGACAGACAGATACTGTCTATGTACAAACACACAAAGTATATAGCACGGTTTCGGTAACACAATCCGACGACGGAAGCAAGCCGCACATGCGTCCTGGATCAAATTTCGTTTTTTTTGTTGGCCACGGCGAGCCTATTCGCCCGTCGACCAGGCGCGGCAGTGGCGGGGGACCGGTCTAGAGTGCCAGCGAGAACCTGGAATATTAATTAGCGAAGGGGAGCAATGCTTCGGTCGAGAATCGATCGATCTGCCACAGATGGAAGGCCGCCTGACCGACCTTGGAAGAACACGCAAGGCCCTGTTGTTTGTTGACAAAATAGGAAGGCCCCGGCGGGGAAGGCAGGGCGTGAGAGCTCGGCCAAGGATCTTTGAGAGCGCTTGACGCCTCACTCGAGGGTCCCAAACAAGATCGTTCTTGCTCTTTGTATCCGAACCAGCCGGGCCACCGCACATTGTTTGCGCGGGGTGCGTGTGCCGCTGGGCTGACCATGGGCGTGGAAGGAAAGTGATTGACAGGTGTCGGCGGAGGGAGCAAGGGGGGTGGGGGTGTTGTGAGGGGTGAGTTACCTATTTGGGGGTTGCCGCACCGCTTGAATGCACCGCTGGCAAATCCCCAGAAATCAACAAAAAACCTTGGAACGGCGGCGAGGGCGGCGAGGGCGGCGAGGGCGACGAGGGGAAAACCTGCCTTGGGGGGGATCCAAAACGAGGCGTGGGACCTTGCCCTGGAGACGCGTGAAGAATGATGGGAAAGTAGAAAAGCCGATGGGCCAAGAGGGACTAAATGACCAGATTATTTAGGTCGGGGATCGAGCTTTGGTACGGGGGATCGTTCTTTTCGAGCTCCAGGTCCCTGTCCGCCGCGAGCGGGGGCGGGAAGGGCCCCAAGGCGCAGGACCCTGGGCGGCCCCACACTTGAACGCCCATTCCACCCTTGCCAAGAGGAGGGGCCATGTGTGGCGTCAGGGTAGGGCGCCAGTGGAAAGACAATAAAGAGGAAAGAAAACAAGGGCCCCAATACGTCAAATAAAAAGGCAGTGCGCCAAGAGATAATAGGGAAAGATGGAATAAAAAAGGGGGGAACAGGTCGGCGGGAGATGATAAGAAACGCTCTGTTTTCCTGTTTGGACAGCCAGTGGGCTCTCGGGTGCTAATTCCGGACAGATTCCGTCCCCATCTTCTGGTCAACCCCTAGATCTCGAGCCGTTCTGTGCCTGATTTGGACTTGGCGGTGCCAGGTTTGCCGTCGATGCAATCGTCGATGCAATTGTCGCTGGCCACCTTTGTCTTCCGACAGACGGCGGAAGGAGATTGATATTCAGTCCTTAGCAGATAGCAAATGTTTTGTGGGTAGCACGGCACGGTTATGGACCCTAGGGGTCTTTTTGTGACATCACTTGACCAACAAGTAGGCACCTACGTGTGCGCGATCCGACGGCGGGCTCGTCGGCTACGGTCACTGTTCTTTAGGCCTTGAGCTCGCTCTTGCCTTTTTTTTTTTTCATTCCCTCCCGAATTCTTGAGCTTTCACCCAACTCCCGTGCATTCCATTATACCCATCATTATCCATGCCCTCGAAGCATTATGCTCAGTTCAGGTTGCATAGCACTCTCTCCAGCGAATAACAGGCCCGGAGTGTTCGCTCCGCACACGCATGGCCTGTGCACGTGCACACGGTCAATCGATGTTCGGTCCCTTGGCTGACAGTCAGCTCTGGCTGCCCGGCATGTTCCTGATCCGCTCCCGCCATGCAGGGCCCCACCCAGTACCAGACTCGACAATGGGCTGGTGTCGTGCTCGCGCTCCACATTTTGTGCATCCGCGGGCTAAGGAGAACGGGTGCATTGGAGCATGCCTAGAATTTGCAGTGCCGGTGTGTGCCAGTAAGTGCTAGTAAGTGTCTCGGACGGGCAAACAGCGCCTGGGCAAGGCCTGTAGAGATTTTGGTATTCATGGTGATGCAATCGAAGGTGACAGAGATGCCCCTGTCCCAGCTGTCGCTTCCAGAGAAAACAGAATCGAGATCTGGCCAAGCTGGAGGCTTGAACACTAATGCTCAATTGGCCGCCCCACATGGGGGCCATCACGCCACAGCCAGCGCCTTTCCCCCATGGCTGTTGCCCGACCGTTGCGGACAAAAAAGAGACAGTACAAGTACGTAACTGTACCGCACTATCCATCACCTGCATATTGGCGTTCTCGTCGCAGCAAATAATCCATGGCCACCTCACCTCCTCCCTCTCGGCCGGCAGCCGAGGCTAATTCAGAGAGCCTAGTTCAGAGAGCCTAGTTCAGAGAGCCTAGTTCAGAGAGCCTAGTTCAGAGAGCCTAGTTCAGAGAGCCTAGTTCAGAGAGCCTAGTTCAGAGAGCCTAGTTCAGAGAGCCTAGTTCAGAGAGCCTAGTTCAGACGGGTTAGCAACTCCCAGTGGCTGAAAGAAAGCTTGGGACTGCGCTGTACTTTCCGATACCACCGCCTCCCGCAGCCCACGCCAAGACGAAGCCAGACACGGCGATGGATCGCGTGCCTCCCTTTACCTAGGGGTGGTTAGGTATCTAGGGATGGGTACGTACCCAGGGACCTGCTAGAGACATGTACCCAGGTAGACCAACCCAGGCAGACCAACCCAGACGCCCGCTCCAGTCCATCTTGGGCACGCGCGTCTCCTCCCACGTGGCCCAGACACTTATCTGTAACGGGCGCGCTATGTGATGCTCTCAAGGTGATATCATGAGCTCGCCGAGCCTGCTGCTCATGACACACATATTACCTACTTTGCCGTGGGCATCGCGACGGTAGACTCCATTTAGTGCCAAGGCATATTTTGTGTGCGTGAGAGGGAGAGGAAGGGCAACGTGCGGTGCTTTGCGTCCGCCTCAGAGTTGCATTGCACGCTATGTGTCATGCCAACACACCCGACGGATCGCGGTTGCGTTGCGTTGCGTTGCGTGCGTGCGCGCGCCTTCACGCACCTTATTTCTTCTTTGGCCTCCTTAATTCCGCTCCGGGGATAAAAAAAAAGTTTCATTCTTCCTTTTTTTTGCAGTGCGTAACGCAACGCACTCACGGGGATCGACACCAGAAAAGTCTCCCCTCCTAATCGAACGAACCTTAGAGGTCTCGGAAGGAGGGGGGTAGGGAGAGAGATCCCTCTTTAACCCCTCGCTCCCGTTTATCGGTACGGCCTTGAAGGGGCGATCTAGACCTGTTCTCTGTTCCCGGCGTGTGTGTGTCCACCTCCCCCAGGTTTTTGTTTGTCTTTTTGGTCCCTGAACTTACGCCAGTAGGTATGGTGTGGGCGTATAACATGCGGCACATCGTCACACACACGCACACGCCCATGCCCGGCGGCGCGGGGCGTCCGCTCTCGGGCGGCGTTCGGCCAAGGAGCAAGGGGGCCGACCCTTTTTTCTTTTCTTTTTACCATCTTTGCTTTTTTTGGGGGGGTGCTTTCAGTGAAGGGAACGATATTCATTTTGACCCCTTCTTTTCTCGGCTGGCAAAGGTTCTGGTCCCAACTGTTGCCGACTTCTTCCCCCCTTCCCTCCCTGTGAAAAAGCGAACATCACGCTCACATTGACGAAAGAGGCGGCGGAGGACCGAGCCCAGAACAGAACTGTCGAAAACCTTGCCAATGCGCGGCCTTCCCTGCCCGCTTTGGTTTCCCTGCTGCCCGGTCACCGGGGCGTCGAAAAGAAGAGGCGCGAGCTTCGATGCCACTTTCGTGTCCCCGGCACCGTCGCCTTGGCCCCCGTTCGCCCGGAGATCTTCACTCCCTCGGTGTTCTCTCCCTGGCCGCTGTCTGGGGGCTTACATGCGGAACAAAAAGTTTACCACGTTTTCCATGTTCCTTCCCCCCTTGACAAAAGCATACATGCTTCGGCAAGTGGGTGCGGGTGTCGGGATGACAGACCAGATCCATGGAACCAAGAAAAAACGCAGGTCTGATCTCTCAGATTTTGCCCCCCTCTCTATCTCGTCAGCTCGCGGCCATGGTCGCCACACCGTCGTCCGTAACATCCAGCGGGCCATCCTCGTCCACGGGGGTGTCGATCTGATCTTCTACAAGGGGAGAGGCTGAAGAGGGCCACCCCAAATCGGGGGGTTGGGAGACTCGTACAGTACGGCCACAGCCAAAGAGGCCGTGTCCGCCCGTTCGCTGGACCGCCGAGACGACAGGGGCCCAAGCGGGTGAACTGACAGGCCCATGAGGGCATGATCTGTGTGTGTGCCAACTTGAGATATCAAAAAGGCCGCAGATAGCCGTGCGGCACTGGCCCTCTCGGCCTCGGCAGCTGTGGGAATCCAACATGCCGTGCCCGAGTCTAGAACAAGTGCAAGTAATAAAAAAACAACAACAAAGGCTCACTACCCAAACCCGATAGTGAGTAGCTAGAGGCAACCTCCCTAGGTAACCCGGCGCGGTTCAAGCGGGCCGAGATACGTTACAAGGCCTTGGAACCACGGGGCGCTGGACAAGGCAAGAGTAGGAAAAAGAAATAAGACGGGAATGGAAAAGTCCGAGGCACACTGTGCTCTCTCTTCATTTTCTTCCAACATCCTCTGCAGGTCGGGGACGGTCAACATGTAATTGATACCAAGCGACCGCCCGCGAGGAGTGGGCCTATAGAACTCCCCCCCCGTTCCAGCACCCGCCCACCCCGATGGCCACAGCGCGTGCGACTGACTTGTAATCGAAACCACCAACCAAGTGACGGACCGGGGCTCGTGCGCGTTGCGTGGTGTCTGTGGAGCCTTCTCTCTGCCGCCCTGTGGGATGCACGTCGGTACCACGGTGGCGCGGCAGAGCCTCAAATGGTTACAGTTTATATACGAGCTTGTTGGGATAGGAGCCTTGGCGTCGTTGACGGGGCGCACCCCCCGGCTGCCCAGCTGCCCAGCTGCCCAGCGGCCAGAAACCTTGACCCTTTGCTTCGTGCTCGTGTGGAAGTGAAGTTGCATGTATTGCCACTTTGCGTGCTTGAGCCAGCTGCTGATCAGTTGAGCTACGTGGAGAGCTTTGTACAAATTCCAGTGTCAGAGCGTGATGCGTGGCCTGTGGACACGGGTGAGAAAAGAAAATAAGAGAAGGGTAACCAAGAATTTCGGTTACCAGGAGTTACATTCAGCTCTAACGCCACGGTCGTCCAGAAATAATACAAAGAAACACAACCGTCGAAAATTCCGACGTTTTGCCAAATAACCGCCAAACGCCGCCTGTGGCCGAAAAAGGGGAACAGGGGGTGTTACGTATACTACAAGTCTCAAATTCAATACTCAAAGAGTCGTGATGGAAACATTTGTCTCATAAGATAGATAGAAAACAGGCAGGTCGTCGAAAATGGCATCGGATAGATAGCTCCTAGGAGAGGGGCCTGATGGGCGCTTCAGGGGTTGGAACTCCAGCCGAGGTCCATCGTCTCCATGGGAGCCATCTGCATGATGCTCCGGAGCACGCCCTCGGCCCCCTGCGCCATGTCAGTCTGCCCGGACATTCCCCAGTCAGGCGTCACCGAGAAGTCGTCGGCGTTGGCGTCGGATATCATGCTTATATCCGGTGCCATCGCAAAGCCCTGTTGCTGACCGAAGAAGGCGCCAGCTCCTGGCTCCATCTCAGCCTGGCTTGTCATGGCGCCCTGGTGCGGCGATACCGGGCTGGCATCGAAAGAGCTCCGGGCGCCAGCTATCGCCCCAAGGCTGCCTTGCCGCTGCTCCGAAGGCGTGCTCGAATTGGGCGTTGGCTGGTTCGACGCGCCCGTGTTTGGAGTCGTCGCCATGTCCCCTGTATCGCCGTTGTCGCTCTGTCCGAACCCCGACATGGAGCCAGTACTCCTCGAACCAAGCACCCCCTGCGATGTAGGAGTTAGGCTTATCTCGGGCAGTTGGCCTCTATCACGGCTTGGGATTTGCGAATCTGGGCTCAGCCAGCTCCCGGCTGCAAGAGCGTTGACGGCGGCGGCGGCGGCTTCTCTGCTTCCATCCGCGTTGGTGATGTCAGGGGCATCGGTGGGGTTGCCGTTGTCCTCGGCAGTCCTGAAGAAATGGCACTCGTTGCGGTATAAGAGGCCTTTATCGTGTTCCTCACAAACTACTCCACGGGCCACATTCCCAGATTGGTTGGGTAGACCACTTGAGGAAGGCTACACGTGGCGTGCGGCTAGTGGTTAGCATGCCATCAGCAGCTGGAGGGCTAGGGAGAGGGGCGCAGTTGACCGAAACACTTACGCTGTCGCTGTTGCGCACGAAGGCACCCTTGAGTTTCGGCATCCTCGTGGTCAGGGCTTCCAGATCGACGTCGAGCTGGACCAGGAAGGACTCGGTCAGGGGGTTCCTTCGCTTCAGCGCATTCATGGCAGCCAGGAGGAATCGTAATGAGTCTGCTGATTGGCTGTCGTCCGGCTTGCTCTTCAGATACTGCACGAACACGCGTGATGAAACGTAGAGACAAAACGACAGGAATGGGTTCATCTAGGCGGCGGGTTGACGAAATAGGGTCAGCATACAAGCCTTGTCGTGGGAGCAGAGCCAGATTAAGGCACAGGCACAGGCACAGGCACAGGCACAAGCACAGGCACAAGCACTAATCACCAACGGATGAGGTCCAGACTTACAGCCGTCAAGTCCATGTGCGACACCATCCTCATGATCCTTGCGATCTCGGTGGCAGCCGCGATACAGCGGACTTTGCTCTCGGCGCTCACAGAGGGCGGGAGACGGTTCTTGTCCGCCTTGAATATTGCCGCCTGGTGCAGGCAGATGGTGGACGTGTGGATGCACATGTTTGTGTAAACCACGTTGGGCACTTCAATGCCCAGCGGAAGTTTCAACTGTTGGGGGAGACACAGCGACGTGTTCAGCAGGATGTTGTCCATGGCTCGATGCCTCTTCCAGAACTCGCCGTTCAGGTCGTGGTCGTTGTCGCCCTCGTCGGGCCTGTGCAGGTGAATGAGGTTGCGTCCAAAGAGACACGCCATCAGGACGATGCCGCCAAACGCGTTCAGCTTTGCCGCGCCCGACGGGCTCATGGCCTCTGTCAAAGTCAACGTCTGCTCGGGCCGACTCATATCGAAGGCCTCATCCGAGGCCGGCAAATTCGTCATGATGTCCTTCTCATCGATGGCCATTGGCCAGCCCGTGCCGATGCTGGCATACCTATCTTCGCAGAAGGCCATCCAGAACGTCCGCCGTCGCTCCTCCTTCTCCGTCCAGTCGCGAGGGGGCGGCAGGCACTGTTTCACGTCGAGGCTGGCGCCGTCTAGGCGATGTAATCCAATCCTGATGCTTGTCAGTTTCCCGCGTCTGCCAAGCCGGCTGATGGGAAAGGATGATCGAGCCGGGATGCTGCTTGAGCTGTTTCTCACATTTGTGCTAATCGAACGGCCGAACCGGTGCTCATCCAGGCCCTTGGAAAGAACATCATCTTGAGCTCGTACGAAGCAAGCAGGATGTGCGTCTGCGTGTGTGCCACGCGAATGATCTGCTCTCCGAAGCCTTTGACATAGTCGGCCTCGATATACTTGCGGGCCCGCTGGTAAAAGAGGTCTTTCAGATCGCTGTATTTGTCCGATACAGAACACGCCAGTGTCCACATGGCGTACCGTAGACACACCGGAGGGCGCTGGTTTGGGGCGCTTTATACCTGTCGGTTAGTTGACTTGCATGTTTCCCGCCTTCCAACGAGAAAGAGTCGCAGTCACTTACAGGTTCATAGCGGCCAGATAGCGGTACCTGTGGATCATTGGTAGCGAGGGGTGGATTTTCTCAAAGTATGTCTGGTGCCTGCATGATAGATGGCACGTTAGCAAAATAGCACATTGCACATGCCATCAGCTGGCGATAGAGGGCGGCCAGGCTAAGGTGGAGCATGGTATCGGCGTATCGGCGTATCGGCGTACAGTTCATCTATCGTCTCCTGAGGCGGCAGGGGCTCCTCCAGGCCGAGGCCGATCATCTCCCAAGTGAAGGTGTTGCCAACATCTGCCATATTCATGCCAATGCTGCTGTTGAAGCCGAAGTCGTCTATGGCTGCGGGCTGTTGGGGGGAGTCTGGGGTGAACTGCCAGCCGTCCACGTCTCGACACTTGGAGGCGGCGCTGATGGAGGGGTCCACCAAGCCAAAGGCGCCCCTGGCAGCTGCCGATGTCGGGTCGCTGCGCGTTGCGGTGCCCATGGCGGTCGCACTTTTGGGCGCAGTCTCGGACGCAGACACGGGCGAGTGGTCTTGGGTCTTGAGGAGCGTCTCGACCTGCTCTGAAACAAGGGGGTTGCACCACAAGGGCTTCGGGTCAGTGACAGGCTCGCCGACAGCCTGGTGCGCTCAGAGTCGCGAGGCGGCACCAACAGGGGGAGTCCGCAAAGCATACTCAATCTCTCCTCCAGTGCCTTCACGTAACCCCTCTTGGGGCCGCTCTTCCTCCGAATCTCGTCGTAGGCGCATGAATGCCCGAGCCTTGTGCAGGTGCTACAGCTCGGCTTCTGGCCATCGCACTACATGACGAAGGCGTGTTAGCGGCCGTGATCGTTCTAGCACAACGGGACATGGCGGGCTGGGCCATCTGCAACAGGAAACGCCCGACTTGCCTTGAGCTTGCGCTTCCTGCATATCATGCAAGCAAGCCGCTTGGGTTTGGGGACGCTGGTGTTGTCAGCCGTTGCGCTCAGAGGAACAGAATCCGCGCTCGCGCTGCAGGGACCTGAAGCCGCATCATTGCCCATGCTCGCATCGGGCGGCGAGTTCGAAGACGAGGACATAACGGGCGAGTATGCGCCGCCGGGTCGTGCGCGCGGGGAATTGTCGACCTCGAAGATAACCACGGCCCACCCTCTCCGCCCCCGGCCTCGCCTCTATTACTGCTCCAGATACAAACAAACGCCTCCCCAGCCCGCCAGGAGGGGCAAGTTCGTCTTGTCGTCGTGGGTGGGCGCTGTGGGCAGCGCAGGGCGAGTGAGGTGTTGGTGATTGGTAGGCGGGTGTTGGTGTACCTCTTGAGGTTGCAGGCGGTCGCGAGGGAGGGTCGGGGCGAGGGTTGCGTGGTGGTGATGATGTTTGCCAAAAACGACTCGCGAGCTGTTCGTATCGGGAGCGGCGACGAGGCGCGCACCGGTCGTGCGGGTGGGAAGGCGCTCAGCCCAAGCACTAGAACTTGCTGGGTTGGGTGGAGGAGGGTCGCTTAACAGCCCGCGGTTCAATGGTTGGTGGGGAGCCCAGTCGATGGTGCTACACTGGATTGGTTGGACGGGTGGTGCTTGGTGGTGCTTGGGAACAAAGCTTGGACAGGGCCGTCGAGTCTCGAGCAGGTCAATCAAAGCCTTGAGTAGCAAAAAAAAAAAAANAAAAAAAAAAGAATATCCATGGACAGGTTTCTCTAGGGTCCAACCCGCCCCGAGAAAGTCGCAACGGCGAGGGCCCAGGCGAAGGGTTGGGTTGGCGTGCCAGTGGAGGTAAGATCAATCAATGAAAGCCGCCCGAATCGACCAGGGGCTGAGGCATCCTTCGTCCCCACCTCGACACACTGCAGGCTTTTGCAGTCGAGGGAGGCAGCATGCAGGACGCTGCAATGCGGTGCTCTCTGCCATTGGCCGTCCGCCG